TATGTTACACTGTCGAAATTATTGGAGAAATTTTTATTCGCTTAGTCTTTCAATGCAATTAATTCACGTAATACTTAAGAAGCAATAAGTAATTAGTAAGTAAATTTTTTGGTAAACCATAATGCAATTCAGTATCAAAAAAAAGGTTTCAAACTTCAATGAATTCCTAGTTAATCCAGGTGCACTTGTATACATCAACTCACTTGACAAGTGCTGCAAGTTGTGGGTTAGGCTTCACGAATTTGCAATGTCCCCTGTGATTGGTTAGGTTTAGGTGCGGGGTTCGGGTTGTGCGCCCACCAATAGGATCCCATCTTGCAAATTATTATCTAATGCTTGCCTGTATGCTGTTTTCGATATAGATTCTGCAACATTTAATGACGAAAGACTGAAAAAGCCGAGAAATTATACTACTTAAAAACTTCATTTGGTGGCTATCATGCTCAAGGTAACTTTATGGCTCATCTAAGTCAGAGCACGGCTAACTCACAAATCAAACCCTGAAACAACTTCTAGGTTGAAGAACACCGCTAACTCATAGATCGAAACCTGAAATAACATCTGGGCTGATCAAAGTCAGGGCATGGCTTACTCACAGATTGAACCGGCAATGAAACAACGTCTGGGTAACTCCACGGAGGGAAAATCAACCCTCCTTAATTTTTCATATGCCATAAATGTAATTTTCGTCATAGCTTGTCTCTCCAAAAGTTAGAGAACGGATAAAAGCCTGGCTGATAAAAACAAACTCTGTGCTGATCTAAGTCAGGTCACGGGCTAACGGATAAAAGCCTGAAACAACCTCTGGGTTGATCAAAGTCAGGGCATTGCTAACTCACAGCTCGAATTGTAATTGTGAGTTTTGTAGAGGGATGAAAAGCAGATAACTAAGAGGGAAATCCTCAAATCAAAGAAGACACCTATCTTCACATTCGAAGCCCAGTTGAGGATTCAAATCTGAGGCCAAAAATTAAAGTTGTGAGGTGACCACTTTTGATAATCGAGTGAAAATAAATATATATTATCAGGCCTTTTCGGTGGAAGAAGTTTGGGAAGAGTAGAGTTTCTTTTTCCATTATACTGATCATTTTTATGAGAGTTAAGTTTATTTTCCTCGATTAGTTGAAGATACACTATGGTAGCTGTTTTCTGCTAAGCTCAGCAATAATTCATTTGAACCGCTAAGAAATAATTATTTTCAAGTCAAAAGAATCATTATCCAACATCCATCCTAAAAATTAGTTGTTTAGACAATACCTAGGTGGATCTGATTTGTAACCTTAGTACCTTTCTCTTTCCCTTGATTCTCAGGCTATTAAAAAGAACTTGGGAGGCGATTTTCTCTTTCTTCTCCAGCCATCTGATATGCGCTCATTCATGAAAATTAACAGTTGGTCCAGGAGCCACTTTGTCCAAGTTTAATTAAAAGAATCTGATAGTTAAATTGGGTTTGAAGCGAAAAAAAAGCAAATCGAGGATACGCATTTAATTACAACATGGCAACTTTGCAAGGAATGGTGAACAAAATTATGAACAAAAGCCTGGATCAAATAGAAATAGTCGAGTGTGGTCACTTTTAGTTCAACTATTAAAATAATATTTGCTAACTCAGATCCGCCTGGACCAGTGATTTATCAAAGGTTCTCATGATCATCAGCTACTTCTAACCATCATTATAAAGATACCACTGTCAGATAACAAAATAACAACTCATTCTAGTTCCCAGACTGTACTCATTAGTCAAATCGTAGGCTCTGGGAACCCTGAACGGAAGCCAGAATCTTGCGACCAGGTCTCAAAGCGTTTACAACTACTCTATTTCAGAATTGCTGACTATGAAATACGGGTTCAGCCTTTCTAACGGCTTTTTTACGTCTTTTTCTAAGTTTATGTTCGGCAAATACAAATAAGACTTGATTCAAAATTCGAATATTTATAAGCGTTTTCCGGGTTGCCCAGAGCCTACGATTTTCACGGTATGAGGAGGCTCTAGGAACGAGAATGCAGAACCATTCTTCTCAAATCAATAAGAATTGTCTATCAAAGCTCTCTTGCAAACCGATTAATGAAATGAAAAATGAACCAAAGAAAAATTTTTAAAATTTTTAGAGAAGCCGAAAAAACGTATAAGTACTAGACTTTCTATCATGATTGGTGTAGAGATTCGTGCTCATGTACATAGACTACAGTCAATTCAAAAAGTTTTGTCGTCGACCAACTCAAGCCTACGCGACTGGACCAAAAAGGAACTCTGGGTAGCAATCATTGAAGCCCAGTTGACTCCATAATTTTATCTGACTAGTTATGCCTGGTTTACAGCACGAACCTTCGTAGGCGAGCGGGAAAGGTTGAAGGAGACGTTTTTTAATGCCTTCATATTTTCTAAATTGTGAACTGAATCATATCTACTTTGTTTTTCTTTCCCTAACCCCAATGACATGCATTTTATGGATTGTTTCTCGCCATTAATATCTTATTACTAGCGGGAACAATTAATTCAGAACGAATTTGTTTTATTTTTACCGCTTCCGTGTTTTTTAACCATATTCCTTTCGGTCCAGTCGCGTAGGCTTGAGCCGGTCGACGACAACTTTTTTTTTTTTTTAATTGACTGTATACATCTTTGGTTTTGTTACACGGATATATGGTGTTTACTCTACAACATGAGGGCCGTGTTGTATCAGATATACAACATGGAAGCAAACGTTGTAGACTACTTGTTCAACGTTTGAGCACATAATTTCACTTTGCACTGACATTTTATAGATTTGGTTAGGTTTCGATAATAAATTTTCAATGATGGTGAAAGCCAAATCAAGAACTGAGTTTCTTCTAGAATTATTAATGATTTTCCTCTCGAAGGCAATCACTCTAAAGTTGTCACTATTCTCATTATTATTCACTAAGCCGAAAATCCCCGTTCTTTTTAGTATAGCTTATGACTTAGCTTTTTCCCTTGACAGCTCAAGGAATTGCGGATGGTGGTTAAACTAGTTCTGTTAATTCTCTCGTTATTTATCGAAGCAAAAACGACCAACACTTCTGATTGGACAACCTGTGAAGCACGTGATTCCATGGCCTGTAAATGTACAAGCGAAGTTTTCGTTGACGTCATAGTAAGATGTCATTTCAATCGAGTGACTGATCTGCGTATTATAATTGATATTCCCGGTGACATAACTCGATTGTAAGTTTCCTTGATGTTTTGAATAGCTGCTTCTTTTAAAAAACATGGATTTTTTAAAAAGATTTACCAAATTTTGAACATTTTTCAGAAATCTATCTGGAAACAGCATTCAAGTAATTCCTGCGAGATCCYTCTACAATTATTCTCAGCTGGTTTATTTGTAAGTAATTATTTCCATTTTTTGTTCTGAGTTAAAGTCGAACGTTTCCATTTCATGTTTTTATCAATTCAGTTATCAATGAATTCATCTATCTATATCTATCCGTCCATTCTTTCATCATACCAAACCATCTATGCATCCAACTATGACATCAATCGCATCCAAAAATTGCATCCGTCATCCATTCATCTATCCGTCCAATAATTGATCCTTGCATGCATTCATCCATTAGTTCATCCATCAATTCATTATACAAACGCTTCCATCTGTCCAGCTACCACCAACTATCCGCCTACCGTTTGTTTAAAGTTCAGCATATTCTATTCAATTTACCATTTGTACTTCAACTCATCCATTTATCCTTCATCTCTATATTAACCCATCAATCTCCCAGACTAAATTAATCCATACATAGATTCATCCATCAATAACCCATAGCATCCATTGTAAATATTTTACAATATTCTGATGGTTTGAAATCCATCTATCCACGTACCCATGACATACCCTTTGCATCCATCCCTCAATCCATGACACAACCTTCCGATCCTTCCATCCATCCACCAACCCACTCGAATGACTTTACCACCTACATTCTTTTGTAGTCAATTCCAGTCTTGTTTTTGTATTCGATATCTGCTTTTACTTCGGTTATTTTCACACTAAGGTGCTTTCTTTACGTTTTGCGAGATTTTCAGAGTCACCGTGTAAGTACAATTTTTCTCTTTTCAGGTCCTTATCAAGTAATAAAATACACACTATCAGTGAAGAGGCTTTCAAGGGACTAAACAACCTAAGAGAATTGTAAGTGCAATAGATACACTTCCACACTCAAATCGAGTTTATAAATCAAGAGAAATTTATGGAATGATAATATTTTTGTTATTTGACCATTTTATGATATTCTGGTTGGCTGGTTGGCTGGTTGGCTGGTTGGCTGGTTGGCTGGTT